AAAAAAAAAAAAAAAAAATAAACCCAGGGTCTCGTGTAGCCCAGGCTGGCCTCAAATTCACTGTGTAGTCTTGAACTTCTGATCCTCTGATCCTTCTCCTCCATCCAAGCACTAGGAACATGTACCACAATGTCCAGTTTTATCCAGGACTAGGGATAAAACCCAAGGCTTCATGTATACCAGGTAAGCACTCCACCAGCTAAACTACATCCCCAGCCATTTTTGTGACAGGTTCTATGTAGCCCAGGTTTTCCTTAAATCCTCAAACCCCACCCCCCAACCCTGTGTCAACCTCTCAAATGCTAGGGTTACAAGTATATACAACCCCTCTTGTCTCTTGTCTTATGCTTCCTGCCCAAGATTGGAAGTCATCCTTTCCCCAAGGAGCCGAGTTATTTTTGGTAGGCTATAGGATTCAGAAATAGTACCAGAGAGCTGGATATGATACACCTATAATCCAGCCCTAGGAGGCTGAGGCAGCAGGATTGCCAGTTCAAGGGCAGTCTTGGCTACACAGTGAGACCTTGTCTTCAAAAGAAAAGGGGAAAATGAATAGTACCATAAAATTTGAATATGATGTCTCATATTTGATAAAGTAAATATCTCATTCCTTCCCAAAATAATGTCTTAGTTATTCTCCCACACATTTTTCCAATTGAACTTTAGATGCTACATAAATTCCAGGGAAAGATAATACTGAAATTCTAATTAGGATTCTATAAAACATGTAATTTGAATCTTAATCTTAATCACATATTAAGATTTTTCCATACAGGATCAATAGATAAAGAACCAAGCCAATCTGAATTTGATCCCCAGGACCAACATGGTGGAAGGAGAAACCCGACTCCCAATGGTCCACTGATCTCTGCATACTTATTATGATGTATTGGCCTTTGATCATACACAGGCACACATGAAAAACACAAAAAACACAAATTAAATAAATGTAAAAAAAAACCTTTAAAAATTTTTCCATCAAAAAATATAGTTTCGGGCTGGAGAGATGGCTCAGAGGTTAAGAGGTTACTTCCAGTGGTTCTGAGTTCAATTCCCATCAACAGATGGTGGTTCACAACCATCTATAATGAGATCTGGTGCCTTCTTCCAGCCTGCAGGCATACATACAGCAAAAACACTGTATACATAAAAAATAAAAAAATCTTTAAAAAAAAAAAAAAAAAGGACATAGTTTCATGTCCTTCACTAAAATTTTATTATTTTTGCCAGGCAGTGGTGGAGGCCAGCCTGGTCTACAGAGTTCCAGGACAGCTAGGGTTGAACAGAGAAACCCTGTCTCAAAAAACCAAGAGAGAGAATAAATTTATACTATGATGCATCTAGATTAAGATATTTAAATACATTAACTGAAAACTTAAAGACATAAAAATGAGAGGTTAT